TAGCTCCGTTCTTCTTGAACGGTGTCTGACACGATGTTGCACATGGTGTTAATTGGACTCATTAAAGTGTGAGGTAGAGCGGTCTGTAGGTGTGTTATAGAACAGAATGGATCGTTTCACTTTTACGTTCATTCTCACATTTATTTCTCAGCTGAGAGAGAAAAAACAAAACAAAAACACAATATACATGTTAACTTCAAAAAAAAACTAAAAACTAAAAACTTGAGCATAGACAAATCTCAAGTTAGACTGACCAAAAAAAAATATATATGAAATACAAAATAACACAAAAGCTAAAACCTCAAGCTAAACAGATTTTTTTTTCGTCCATTAAAACAGACTATTTTAAGTTGCTGCTGTATATAATCCAAGCTAATGGAAATAAAACAAGTGGAAGGTCAGTTATTCCTCCATGTCTATCACAATCCTTTAGTTCTTTCGTATAGTCATCATCCAACAATTTCACTACCTTAAAAAAAGATCAATCTTTACCAAGTTGTGTATGACAGGACAGGGCTCTGGCTCCAGTCTGCTGTGGTGTTATACTGGTGGAAGTAGCCATGTTGGATGCAAGGTTCAACTGCAGAACGTGAATTAGGAGGGGGGTGGAGGATGATCTGCGCACCGTCTGGATCTCTGGAAGGGTATGGGAGCATACCATACTCAGACCTGCATGGAAGAGTCACACGGAGGTTAAATGTAATGTGACTGCATGCCTGGTGCTATTCATCTTGATCTCAGGTAGTCTTTGAGTGGGTAGAAGTGTACCAAGCATTTAAACAATACTGGTTATTTTTAAAATCAGACCTGTATGGTTGGTATGGCACGGAAGCAGGCACCATCTGTTCATCACTGCTGCAGTTGTACTCCCGCAGCACCAGGGGCTCAACGTGTATATTCTCAGACGGCTCCAGAGCTGAGCCTGAAAGGTGACCTCCCTTCAGTGACTGCTGTGTGGAGGCCCGACTCTCCTCAGTCTGTGTGAACTGAGAGGTGGAGAGCATCCTCTGCAGGCCTAAGAGGGAAATGCAACATTTAAATCTCGGGAGTGTCGCCACATTTTCACACTGCTTTGGCACAACTTACATCACCATAAATTATTTTCTTACATTTTCTTTTAGTATTCATTTAGTAAAAACTTGAAGATAAACATTACAGAAGCTTACTTGGAGAGCTGTTGCTCAAGTCATCCCTGTCCAGTGTGGGTCTCTTAGCACGGGGGCTTTTATTTGACAACCTAAAATATATCGTATATAATAATTTACATGTTCTTTCCAATTAATGTTAATTTCATGCTTACAATGACCTAAATTAAGAAAAACAAATTGAAAAGTATAACAAAATTTAAGTCTCCTGAGAGGCATTCTTACCTCTTACTGTGAGAATGAGTGCCTCCTTCCCTGAAGCCTTTAGCGAAGGGGTTGTGATCAATTTTCAGTTTGGTAATCTTCGAAGAAACAAGAAAAGACAGTTGAATTGGCATTGCAGAATTCTGTTAAATAAAAAGGATGTTCTGCACAAAAATTTGAATGTTATTGACTGTTTCTGGCAGATTTGAACCTTTGGGTTTTGGTAAGCAGTGACTGCAGTGAACGCCGTCTCTGGGAATGAGAAGCTCTGCACAGAGCCCCAGCGGAGAGTGTACGGGTTATCTGCCTGGACCACATGAAACCTCGGGTAGTAACGATGCATGGAGAGCAGGATGATCTGATTGTAAGGACAAGAAAGCAAATGGTCAAATACAGTGAAGACGACAATATAGGGGGAAAAAAAGGGGGGGGGGGGGGGGAAAGAGGGGGAAAGGAAG